ATACATATACTTGTATTTAAATAAAAATATTATTATGTTTGTGTGTGATATGTACATATATGTATGTATATATAAAATGGTAGTTCAACTTTATCTCTTTTACTTTACTTTCACTTTCCATATCTACGAGTGACATTCTTCATAAAAACTCTATGAAAAACTGTTTAACATGCTTTAATAAGCAGCTTATGAGCTAGAAACCTTCTACGCGGGGACAATTCAATTAATTAAGCTCTTGGTGGCCTAACGTTAAGAAGATTTACTCTTCTGATATTTCGTGGGGAAATAAAAACTCCCCATCACTTCAACTGCTGCCCAGAGTTACGGACTGTTCCCTTCCCCAGCTGCTGACTGCCTGTGATAACGAAACACCAGAAGGTGGTGAACTCGATCCCTCAATCGATTACTATGGTATAAATGTTTCATTATCCGGCTATGAAGAAGTTCAAATAGCAATTGTTCGCTAGAAAAACAACAAAGCGGTGGAGGCTGATCGATTATATATAATTGGCGCTTTGTAACCGCTTTAACGATTTTCGCCCGAGCTCCTCTCCCAATTAGTGGTTTGTCGTCTTGATGATTTTCCAACAAATGGAGGGGGCTTATACTAAGCCGACGATTAGAACCTAAGTGTGCTCTACCCAATCCACAAAAAGGACCACACCGTCTACAATAATAGCTGTGGGTTAACTTACCTCCATAACGTGCGATACCGAACGCCCACCATCAAAAAGGCACCACCTCTTCGTCGATTTTTTGGACTGCATGATAAGGAACTGCATCTACAGCGCAATGTGGAAAACGATGGAATGCCTCTGGATTGCTCACTTCTGACGCCAGATTCACTGTTGACGGGAGAAGAAGGTATGGAAGAATAACCGCCTGAATTTGATATCCCCGCAAAACTAAAACGGCTATGTAAATTGCAATACTAAAGCACCAACAAGAACGGAAAGGCCGTCTCCTAGTCATTCTATATCAAAGTAGAGAAAGAGAAAGATCTGCACTCCATTGGAAGAATCAGAGCTTGGGAGGGACCTGATTACACATGTTGTTTTCTGTTGGCGCCAAACAGCGAAAGGAAGAAACGAATTTCGGACTATTGTTCATTCGGATATAATTGGGAGAACGGACTAAAAAGATTAGCTTGAACCCATCTGGTGATGCCGAAAACTTAGCAGTTTGTTCCAACGTTTGCCGCGAAGTGAAGTAAGGATCTATAGGTACATGGATAGTATTCTGCGGCACCCGGGATCAATCTAACCCAAAAAAATCGAATTGAATAAAATAAGGAAACCCACTGCAAGATGTGGCCGGATCTTCTGGTAATTCAATGGAAAACTGTATTATAAAATAAAATAATATTTTTTATAATTTTACAAACTCAGAATCCAGATGGATTTTTAGAACATTTTTTGAAAACTTTTGCAAGATTTTTTTTCTCAGCTAGCTGTTGTTGGGGTTTCCCTTCAAATAAAAAACTCACTTCAAATCAAGAATTTTATTTGCTGACATTCTGAATAAAGCTCACTCACACATACATACACACTCAATAACACTCTTGGCCTCATGTCATGATGTCCTTGCGCGTTTGCACTTGTAGCGCCTGCCAAAAATAACTATCCATCGGCTAATTGGCTGTGGACCAAAATGTTTGTCGCTTTGACGTTAACATTCGTTTACATTCTTCAGGCACTACACTATACAGGCACATGTGTATTTATGTATGTATGTGTGTTTGTTCGGCATTATATAAATATATTAACTGTCCACAGTGACATTGTCGAGAAGAAGAATTCATTTATTGACATAAAATTGGCTAAACAAAATTTTTCTGCTTCATATATTCCCTTTTATTTAACGCCAAACGGTAATAAAAATACCAACAACAACTACAACTACAAATATTTAATGTCAAATAAGTGGGGCTTTCGAAGAATTGGCTGAGTTTCAGTTATTTGGGAAATAGAAGAAACAGAAAAATGAAAGAAAAGAAGAAAAAAAAATAGAAAAAACACAAAAATTACAACTACAATATATACATACTCGTATGTAAGTATAAAGCATGATTCAATATTTGAAGGCTTGATAATTAGACACTCTTCTCCCTCCCTCATATTTGGCGCTTTATGAACGTTGAGAGGATTTTTGGGTGAACTCCTCTTCCAATTTGTGGTATGCCTCGGAATGTTCTTCCAACGCATCAAGAGATATACAGTTTATACTAAGCCAGCTCCGAACGGCCAATTGATTTTTATGAGAAGTTTTGATTATCATGTTGGAAATATGAAATTCCCTGCTGTGGTGTGACTGAAATTAGAAAAATTAGTTTTCTATAATTTTGGATGTTGGTCGGACCAGACAACGAACCCAGGTCTCTCGAATAGGAAGCACGCATTGCTAGGCAATCAAATATGTACAGATAAGTGTGCCAAAAGTGGCGTTGCGAGGATGCCAGCTTAAAGCGGACATAAGTTTGTCAGTTTAAAGCTGAATTACTTGAAATAATGGGTTATTGGTCGGTTCGAGGTCAGGCAAACCATGGGGGCTTCAAACCGCGCGACGGAACAGAGTGTAGCCGCTGGAGGAGAGCTCCTGTGAACTTCCGCTCAGAGGGAACGAAGGTTGAGCTAGTGTGGAGGGTTTCTGTGGACTGTTTGTCACAAGCGAAGGTGACTGCTGACAAGGAGCCGCCTAATCTACTGCGCTAATATGTCTGGGGCGTGAATAAAAGCTAGTCAAGGAAGGCTTGATAGCTCTGTCGATTGTTTTCAACTCTTCCTCAATATGGCATTATTTAGCCATTAGGTCAAAGCGGAATGGATGAGAGTAGAAAATCAAAAGAGCTTGCTTTAATAATATCAGACTTCAATGTAAGAGACGTCTGGATGTATCTCTCTCTCTCTCCCTCTCTCAATTCGATAAACGTTGGGACGTACATACACAATCTGGCGATATTATTGGCCTCGCAAAGTCGCAGCGCTTAAGACGTCAGCTCTGTAAATGCCAGATCTCTTTTATTAGCACTTCCTTCCAAGCATAACAAAATTTGTATGATTGAGCTTAATATATTTAGAATAAACCTGGTATGTCTTCACGGCCTACATTTTGTAGTCTTCATGGAGCAATAAATGTCATCAAGTGCTCCATGGAGCACTCTGGGTTATACTTAATACATACATACACCAAGTCGAACACTTTGAAAGCGTGAGAGACTTTTGTGCCAGAAGGGCGGAAGCTTGAGTCATGGTTAACAGAGAAAAAGCTTCAGTGGATACACTCAATTGGTAGAAATTACACCAAGCAACTGTACAAGGGCTTGAATCAAGCCGCTTTGTTTATAAATGAGACTCAAATTGGACTCCTTTAAGGAATACGTTTGTGCGCTGGTTTTGAAGTCCCCTGTCTAATGATAAAATATCTATCTGCGATGACGACTACGGCGAATGCAACTAGAAATCCTCAAATTCCCATTTCACAAACAAAGACCAATGGACAATTCCAAAAGTCAACTCCACAAATGAAGAGACGTTTAGATGAAGAACCCGTGTGAAACGCACTGAGGACGGTTAAAAAACATACTTTAATGCTATGTCGCGGCCGCGCTAGCCGAGTGGTTAGCATTGCGTACTGGCATTCGGAAGGCTCGGGCTTAAATCCCTGCGCTACCATCATCCAAAAGTTTTAGAAAATTAATTTAAACAAAAAACTAAACTAAATTTTCTAATAGCTGTCGCCCCTCGGCAGGGAATGTCCACCTCTCCGAGTGTATTTCGGATAAGAATTAAATGCTCCTCGTAAAAAAACCATCAGCCGTTCGAAGGTGGCTTAGTATAAACTGTAGATCCCTCCATTTGTTGGAGAAACAACAAGACGCAAAATCACAAATTGGATGAGAAGCTCCGCCGAAAATATCTTCAGCGGTTACTAAGCGCCAATTATACTCGTATACTCGTATATAATGTTGGCTGAACAATATTTGCCTGGATGTTAGTGACCATGTATACAGACATCTATTGGACACACCAGAAAAGAACTATTAGGACTTCATCCAGCATTACGGTACAGAAATCCTGGATAAGACATGTCCAGCCACACTCTTTTGCCATGAATGGCGTGCTCGGAATTCAACCACCAACTGTAGCAGATGAGCAGCACCAGCTACCTCGCATGTTCTGAGTAATACTGTCACAATTAAGGTTTGGATGTTGTAGTCGAATCAACCCTGCCAACCATTTGTTAGATTGCCTCGACGAAAAGGACTAACTTCGCCCGGCGCTGGGTAGGGTTAGACAAGCTGGTACAGTACCAACAACGTACAGCTCATAGTCTACCGCAGACAATGGTAAGAAGAGTTGTATGGTTTAGTTCAGCGAAACAAAATACAACGATCACTTTGACTAGGTCGCGTCATCCGATTGAAAGAACCCATTGCAGCTTTAAAAGTTTTCGACACTCTACTATTTGGTCTAAGGCGGAGCTAATGCAAAATTTTCTGCTTGAATTTCTGGTGAAGAAGGCTCTGATTGCAGCTGGCGCGAACAGCTAAAAACAAGAGACGAAAGACGTGAATTTTGATAGATGAACCCTGTATTCTGTTCACTTTACATTGAGATCCCTCAAAAAATTGCATAGCCGAAGGCCGGACATTTTTGTTTTAATAAGTTTCGCTTTCAATTCTATTTGAGATCGCGAGTTTTTAAACTCTAAACTGAAAAAAAATATCTTATTCGTGTTTATTCGTTTTCAGGAAGATCTGTCTCTACTTCAATGAACTGCTAATAAACTCTTCACAGGAAAATTATATTTGTATGCATTTGCCGATATTCAAATATTTTTGAAATATGTACATACTGGAAAAGGCCGACAATTTTGCTTAATACTAAACTGAAAGTATGCTTTTGTCTTTTCTTTCCTTTTCTATATATTCGCACTATTGCTACCACGACTACACTAATGGCACACATACATACGCAAAAATGTATACCATCACAACGCAGTCACAACGATTTGGCATGGAATATACGGAAATTTTTGAAAAATCGTCTGCAAGACTTCCCTTTTGCCGGCAATTTGCGTGAGGTGTTGCCATGGTCGGCGAGCGCTTGGAGTCACACGGATTTGCCGCGTTTGAAAGAGGGCATGGTGTCGGCGCAGGTATGTATAAAAATAGAACAAAAGTAAAGTAAAGCAAAAACAAAATAAAAAACAAAAACAAAACAAAAGTTCAAATATGCACACTTTCACATACACTAACATACTAGTGTATACACACATATGACTATGCGTACATATTGAGTTGCATACTTTGAGGCGTTCAACAGGTGCCTTTGTAATGTGTGGAATTTTATAAGTTTCAAAGCTTGCAAACAAAGGAAACGTACATACACAAACACACAAATTGATTTTGTCAAGTGATAAACACTATTTTGTGCATTGAAAGAGGAAACTATCTCTATTTTTTCAAATTTTTCACTTTGTTTTTCTTTTTTATTTTAATTTTTTTATTTTGCATATTTTCATTGAGCTCATACTCTCCGCATATATGTACACGTATTTATGTACAAAAATCCAGTAATATTTTTGCTTCACTGGAATTTCTTGTTATTTACTGTTATGTGCTGCCTTTCTTCTCCACAGTTTTGGTCGGCATATGTGCCTTGCTCCTCTCAACATATGGATGCCGTTCAGTTGACGCTGGAACAAATAGACTTAATACGGCGTCTGGTGAATTTGTATCCAAATCAAATGACTTTCGTCACAGATGCTTCAGGTAAGTTGCATGTTGAATGCTGTTGTATGCGTGATCTGTATATGTAATCGCATACATACATATATTTACTAGTTTGTGCTGAGGTTTGTACAAGTTGGTATGGAATTATGATATTTGATGCCAATTTCATGCTCGAATATCGAATGTGTACTCCGAACGTACTTTTACCTCTTACGTAGGGACGACAGTTGGGAAATATTGCAATTTTTACAGATTTTTTTTTTCAGATTGTGTTAAATGGGCGGAATGAAAAATTTGTGGTGCATAAAGACTTCAATTTGTTTTTTTAGGCTACCCACGAATCAATAAAATTTTTGATTTTTTCAAATGATATGAAAACGACTGGTGAGGTAGTATTACATCCCAGCTTAGTGCTTTTAAATAGCTTCACACTGAAGGTGCTACATGTCGAACTGAATAAAAAAAATTTTGCCATATCTGAAGTAATATTGTGTTGGGGTTTCCCCCGAGCTCATCGTAATCTCATTAGTTTTGTTCGGCGAGCGTTTTATTAATTGCACGCCTGCATTACGCACCTCGTAATACATCACCTTTAGCTGTCTTCTAGGTCAAAATTACAGTCTCTCACATTAAAAATAATACGCGACATGTTTCCTTATTCAAGTTAGCCTCATCGTATGCTTCTATGAGCAATAGTTCACGTAAATTACGCTGCTCCTTCTAATCTATATTCGTTGCTTGGCGCCAATAGGAAATACCAAGTACAAGCGGGTCTTTCCAATATGGTGGAGGTCTCCATCTGCATTATTCTTGTCCCTCCGAACTATGCTTTACTCTCAAAAACTTCCTACGCCGACTCATTAGATTTTGCCATCGCCATATGACTGAAGAGCGACTCTCAATTGAAATCGTCTACAGTTTATGGCTCTCAACAGTGATGTGCAGGCGAAGACGTGAGTGCGTTGATTGTTTACTTGTTGACAGAAGATATTTCGTTTAGTCCTAGTTCACTCTGGGACTCTCACACTTTATGCCATCGAACCTCCTGGGAAGTCGGCACCCAGCGACTCCAGAGCCTGCACATTTTTCTAGCTTTAGAATCGAGCAGCAACACAGTTTTCACAGCGAAAGTTTTGTCAGTGAGCACGATAGCTGCTAGAGCTCAAAAAGAGCAGCTTGAGCATTTGAGCAACGAGTATTCGCACACTCGTTTATTGCTCATTGCTCGAAAATTTTCGAATACGAGAACGAGCGATTCGAGCAAAAGTTTTTTTCACATAACTTCTTTCTATAATTTTAAATTTTTTTATGAAAAAAGTGAAAAACTCAGTGAAACGCAAAACTAAATTTCGACAAACCAATTGAAAAAATGAGATATTTCAAAAAAAAAAAAAAAAAAAAAAATATTTTGAGCAGTTGAGCAACGAGCGAGTAACGAACGAGTATTGAGCTTCTTGTAGTGCTCTTTACCCGGATATCTAAAGCTATGTTAGGTACTAATTCAGCTTGTCATTGAGTGCCAGTGCTGCAGCGCAAAATAGCTCATGGGACATACCTAACAGGCATGGCTTTATAGAACAAGTTCACCAAGTCAGCGCTGCCACAGTCAAAGACAACTAAAATCTCTCTTTTACGGTGTTCGAATTCCTGGACACTTTCATGTCGAATTATGTATAATATTTCACTTAATCAGCTAGCAGCTGGCGCACTACTTCCATTGAGAGCAGAGAATTCGTTGGGAATAAAAGAAGCTTTAATTGAAACTAACGGTTATTCATAATTTATATTTATTAGTGAATATAACAGTTAACAACTGGCAAATCTTGCGTTTATAAGTGTGCTGTATATATGTATGGAGATTATTCAGTAAAAAATGGTAAATGAGATTTACTCAAAGAAATATTTCTGTGTATGTATGTGTATGCATATGTAGGTAATTGAAAGTAAGTTGAAGCGAACTTTTCATTCATAATAAATTCATAAGCATAAATTGTCACATTGCTTTACACTCTTTTCTGCATATTTAATAACGCATAAATGTATGTATATACATATGTATATACTTGTATATAGAAAGTATGCATGTGCACTTACGTTAAAATTGTATCTCCGCTACTTTCTTTGCAGGAATTGAAGAGGTGCATAAAACTGGAAAAATTGCCAGCCTGATCGGGGTGGAAGGAGGCCATTCAATTGGTACTAGTCTCAGCGTTTTACGAATGTTCTATCAGCTTGGCGCTCGCTACTTAACGCTAACACACACCTGCAATACGCCATGGTAGGTAAATTTATATTTATGTATGGATGTATATATGAATGTGTGTTTGCGCTTTTATAAGTACATATGTAGATATGTATATATGTAAATGGATTTTTCTGAAACTTAACAAAAAATGAATACAAGCGAGTAGACAGATGTGAGCGTATGTACAATACATATATATGTGAACCGATATGTACATATGTACAACAGTGTGCTAAGCAAAGTTTTCACGTTAACAAAATTATAGAATTTTTTTCTTTGTTTGCCCACAACTTGCAAATATTTGTCTGAGTGTAACCATTTTTTTTTTTTTTTTACATTTTATTTCTTTTTATTTTTCTTGCTTTGTATGCTGCACACACACACACATACATATGGGCGTAGGTGTGTGACTGGTATTTGAAAAGGGTCGCAAAAATGTTGAAAAATGTAAATAAATATAAAATGAAAAGTAAACACAAAAGTTTTGCTGCTTCAATGCATCGAATAGTCAAATTGTGGATATGATTGTGAGGGATGAGTTTGGGAACAAAGACAAAAAGGAAGAAAAAAACGCAAAAGAAACAAAGGAAAGATCGAGTTCGAATATAATCCATTCTAAGTTTTTATGACATTTAAGTTTGAAAGTAATTGAACAGAAGTGTACTGTTTCGAAAATATTAAAGCTGTGGTGTTCGCATCCACCCGGACGATATGTGCGTAGCCCGTAGAGCTTAACAATCGATTAAGTAGTGAAGCTAATGGGTCTCCGTCTGGTAATGAACGAGATAACACAAAATATCTCTCGTGCCATTAAACGCAACGTCAGCGCGTTCTTGGCTTGGCTATTATGCCACTTTTGACAATCATAACTTCAGAGCAGTGTTTAATTCAGTCTATCTATCGACCAGCACGGCGGCCGCTGTAGCCGAGTGGCTAGCATTGCGTACTGCCATTCGGAAGACTCGAATCCAAATCACCAGCACTCGTACTAACAACCAAAAAAATTATAGAAAATGAATTTAAACAATAAAATGAGTTAAATTTTCGATTTTGCAGTCGCCCCTCAGCAGGGACTGTCAACAAATCCGAGTGTTTTTCGGACATGAAAGACCATTAGCCGTTTGGAGGCGGCTCAGTTCAAACTGTAGCACCCTCCATTTGTTAAAAAAACAACAAGCAGCCTAACCACTGATTGGAGGAGGAGCTCGGCCGAAAATCGCTTAAGCGGTTATAAAACGACTTAAAACTCCGTCTTAAAATTCAATAAAAAATCATTCCTGTTAACAGACGCGACTTTGCACTGACTGGGCAACTGTAAGTAAACTCCTCCCTCGATGTACCAAAACCGAACTAAACGAAACGTGCTGATATACAGATGTTGCAAAGGCTTAGACGATGACAATATCAGATGAGTTGATACAAAGTTATAAAGGTAAAGATTTGGTAGTAAATTTATAGTTCTTTGCGCATGGGTAACGGCGCTTCCGCAAACGATTAAACGAAGGTTATCGTAGACGACGAGTAACGAAGAGGCATTGACTTGGTTCAGCGAATTAAGATTAAGGATGAAAGTAACCCAGCCTTGAAAGTAATTGATGCAGTTCCTGTCGATAGAAGGAGAGGAAAACCTTGCTTCACTTGGTGTCTCCAATTGGGAACTAAAGGCTAAGAGAAGGAACAAGTAGCGCCAAGTACCTGATGAGCTCTATCAGAAATCAGCAATAGAAAATCTTTTGGCTGTCTGTTGTGATTGCAGATTTTCAATGTCAAATCGTAGATGCATTCGAGGCGCTCATAGAAAATATTTTTGGACACACCATCTTTCCTTGCCATATAGGCGTGGGTGTAAATCACAGCTATGTTAAAAAAAATCGCGTTCTAATGCGGCTTGTGACAAGACGTTCATCTACCCGAGAAGATGATAGCATTATAGGGTGCAGTCTCTCTTCTACCACTTTTCGTTCCTTTATATGACCGCTGTCGCAAATGCGCCGAAGACTTACTCTCATCCGTCCTCGTTTAGTTCGTCTCATCTTTTGAACCGAGGTGATGTGAACTGTAATTTATGGAACCGGACATATCAGTTGCATGTCCTCTAAATAATAATCCTTTTTTGTTTGTCGTGGTCACCATCAAGATTGGAAGCTCTTATTCTAGACTCTATTAACCTTTCTTTGTACCTGGATCCTACGAGGAGCAAGTTTCCGAGCCCATTATCTTCAAGCAGGACACCCGCTCGTAGCCGTACCTCTGGTGTACAGAGTTGGCAAGTAAGACCGAATATGACGAGGTGGCTCCACTACATCTTTCTCTCTCTCTTTTAGTTGTATTTTAAGGCTCCACAAAGGTTGGTTACTGCAACTCACACAAGTGGCTTATCCGTTTTTAGACTGGCAAGAATGGAATTTGAAGCTTAATTAAGCTTTAGAGTTTCTACTGACGTGTGTGTTTGCTGCGACTAGATGGTAGTAAATAAGGCAATATTACAACCTCGGAAAGTCGTCAAAAACATGTTATCAGTAATATATTCGTATAATATAAGACATTCGATTAGTTTACGAAGGTTTTGAGTCGAAACATTTGATGATTTGATTTCACTTTCGAATCTTGCTCTGAATGGTCTGTTAGCCTCAGTTCACTTTCTGTGGCTCCTTTTACAGTGAACAGTAATTTTTTTTAACGAAGTCCCTTTTTGGTTTTACCAAGCTCTGTCCATCGCACTTTCGGGACTCAGAATGTTTTTTGAGCTTGAAACCTTAAAGCGCTTACAGATATCGTGACATAAGTGCAAAGCTCTCATCCGTGGCGCCTTTTCCAAAAAGTCTCGCTTTAAAAAGCTGGACATTGGTATAAGGGTCTCAACAGTTTAAAAGATCTGATTTTTTTCTTTTCCGCGTTACATGATTCGATAGGCTTACCAGTTTGTTTTGATATTTTGCGAAAAAAATGACTTTACGCGGATTTGTGACACTTAAATTCCTATAATATATGTATATAGAAGCACATTATATACTACATATATACACATATAATATATCAAGGAATTAATATGTCGGAAAACGCATAGTCAAGTACAAGGATGTGAACATAAATATGCAGTATACGCATGATTGTGTGAAATATACATTTTAAAATTATATAAGAGTATGCCCTGGACTTATTCAATGACATGCGAAAACATATAAACATACATACATACATATATGTAAATGTGGGCACGTAAAAAAGTTTTTAAATTTTTTTGATGAGTTCACCTACTACGAAATTATTCGCGCGACAGACACACGTGCATACATGCATCCCCAAATCAAAAGCTACCCAGTAGGAAAATTAGTTGGAAAAAAGTCTTCAAGATGAGGCTATTACAAATGCACAGTGAGGTGACTTTTAATCCAAACAAACAACCAAACCTAATTTAATGTCGAGTACTAATTATTAACGATGTAAATTCTTTCTAGAATGGCGATAAGTATATAGTGGATTAAGTACATTTTTTACGTGATTATGGCAGAATGAATAATAGCGCGCCTGCCGTTTTTTCGTTTCTTCTTGTAGATGTTCGTCCAACCAAGTTAAGATACCAAGTGAACCCAAGTTCTTCTCAATCTGATATATGTATCTACGGCAGACATTTGTATCTACCGGCAAACGTATACTTTCAGATCTGTAGTGCTTTTGTCCATCCGGACGACATGATCTACAATAGATAGCATAACTGCTGTATTCGCCAACGCTAATATGTAGAGGATAGAGGATCATTAATTTGTTGCTGAGCCCTTCTCAGGAAGACTCCCGACTCTTCCAATATTGTCATTCTTCACATGAGATTATGATGAATGAGTTTTAAATTTGGGTTTGGTTTGTCAAGAGACTCTACATAGTTGCCTACTTAGTCAAAAGCAACAACTCTTTGAAAGAGTAACTCGATAATAGATTTCAAGGCTAACATTACTCTCTCTCTCTCTTTCTGTTTATGCTGGTTCCTATATAGACTTTAAAGATTTATGACAGCCCATAATGGTGAGGCTATTAAAGTGTAAATGCTCTAACTGTTTGTTGACGACAGATCCTTTCGCATCTCTTTCTTATTCAGTCTGGGGGTAGTAAAATTTACTGCATGGTTCTTGAGGCTAATGATTTGCGTTTCGTAAATATCCAGTAAATGGTCGTTTTGCTAGTTCGAAAATCACACTAAAAAGACGCCCGACAATACGTTGCGTTGGATATTCGAGAAGCTAAAGCCATGATAATTGGCGCAGAAAATGAGGTTTCTCTTCTTATAGATAAGACAGGGCAAGCTTACGTATTTCGAAAAGTAGCTAATGCATGCACCTTGTCAGTATCTCGCCGTCATACTTGAATTGCTCAGCGGATAGGCCATCGGCTCATCCTGCAGACGGACAATGGCTATACGAACGATAATGAGGTGGAGTGATGAAACGTTTATATCGTCGGCATAGAGAGGGGATTCCCCTTCCCTTTATAAACTGAATATCCTTCGAACGTCAATCACCGGATCGCCTCTTACATATTTTAAAAATATTTCTTTAAAGTTGTGTTCATACCAATCTCTATTGGTTTGTCAAGCTCCTGTTAAAGAAGAAGAGATAATTCCTAAATTCCCCACAGGTGTCTAATTTTCTAATACGCCCTATGTACTAAATAACTGGCGATTTGTAACCGCTCTTTTTGAGTCCGTGATAGTGGAGGAACCTGCAGTTTGAACTGAGTCGTCTCCGAACGGCTAGTGGTTTTTTTTTATGAGGGTTGACACTTCCTGCCGAGGGGTGACTGCAATAAGAAAAATTTATTTTCTTTAATTTTGGACGTTGGTCACATGAGTACTCAAACCCTGGCCAGCCGTATTTTAGTATGCTATAACAACTACTCGACTGTAAAAATTGCAGAAACTCAACTAGCATAAATAAACTAGTATTTAACCAGTATGAGTCTGATGCATAGTCGGGTAATTGACATTTTGCACGACAATGCTAATATAACTAATAGGAAAAGTGATGAAAAATGAACTAGTCAGTGTATAAACGTAAACTAGTTGAAAACCCATTAATAACTAATAACTTTTCCTGCAGGGTTGCCTTTTGCTCTTTTCGTGTCCGCCTGCGTGTATCACTGCGTATTTGAACTTGCTTACTCAAACGATGAGAAATCCACTGCTACAAGTGGTGACGAAGTATTCATTTTAAAGCGTGTTTTTAATGCAGATTAATGTGTTTCATATTTGATATTTTCGCTGTTGTTTATTTTCGCGAATTTTTTTATTTATCTTTTTATTCATTTTATATAGTATATTACTTCATATACATACATATATACATATATGTCATAATTTTATATATTTTTAGGGCGGATTGCTGTAAGGTTGACGAGCCAGGAAAGTATCCGCATATTGGAGGACTTTCCAAATTCGGCAAGGTAAGTGTGCACTTGTACATAAATACATACATGCATACATGCATACATCGGTACGCAATATACCTGCAGAAAAGTGTAAGAAGGCTGCAATGTTTACTTATGTACAACTTGACGGAAATAAAATTTATGGCGACAGCCGAATAAATTTGAATGTGAAATATTATTTTTACTTGATTACATACAAACGCGTAACAAATTAAGAAATTTATGTATATATACCAATTTGTAAAGTTTTATGGATGACTAGCGAAATATAATGAAACTAAAAAGACGGGACTAAGAATTTCTTTAATATTTTTATTTTAATTCCAAAAAAATAATACGACGAGCCGAGAAGTAAAAGGAAAAATGTGGCTGCCATTGTGGTGTAAAAATACCGGAAATTTTTAATGTTTTTATATTTTATTTATTTATTTACTTTTTTAATTTCAAAATACAAAAACCATGAAATACTGTTTTTCTTTAGTAATTTTTTACATCTACCTTTCATGAACTGAAGTATGTAAGTAGCAGCACTAGAAGAGATAAATCCATCACAATTTATGCTGCTCGTGTCAGAACGAGGCGCTGAGTTGATTTGGCCCTGTTCATCTCTGTTGCTGTTGTTGTTGTTGTTGTTGTTGTTGTTGTTTTTTTTTTGTGGTTGTTGTAACCACAAATTATTCCCCGAATTGGTTTTCGGGGAATATTGCGGGAGTGACAGTCCTTGGCTGGTTAAAAATCCGGGTCGTTCCGATATAAAGACCCGACTGTGGCGGGAACTATTGGATTTTAGTCGCCTCTTACGACAGGCATGCCTTACCACGGGTAAATTCTTGAGCCCCTAACCCGCAGGGGTTCATCTCTCTATCTGTCTGCCTGTTCGTCTATCCGTTGTTTTTGAGATAAAAAGTTGTTTGTACTCTACGTGCGGTTTTCTATAAGGCAATACTTTTTTCGGAGTTGGTCAGCCTATCCATTACTTGATTTAAGCTCAGTATGATTTACCATTTCATATTGAGTAGTCTTTCTGCGAGACAACATTTCCAAATGGTGTAAATTTAATACTGTAATAATGATTAGGTTAGCGCGTCTCTATGCTGCTGCGCCCAATATTCGCTCGACATATTCGCCTAGCAGAGTTCATAAGAGTTCGAGCAACAATAGATTGATTTCGTACCACATTTGTTCTAATGTTTAATTGCGCACCGATGACGCTATTGCTGTTGCCAAACAGAATACTCAAGAAGGCCCCAAAGAGTCCATCCACCATCGCGTGGAACAATGGAAGCTGTGCGCATCTACTTTGCCAACGATTCTGTGGAAGAATCTCGGTTCATGGGTTTATAAAATTCAACTTGTGCAAGAATTAAAACCGAACGAGCATAACGCTTGCCGGAACTAATGAGATCGGAATACTATAATATTAGGTTGTCAAATATCTCCCTTCCGCTTTTTTGTCTTTTGAATTTCGCGGCTATGTACAAAGCGCTACAGAGCTCGTATCTGGCAACACTATACATAACTTGAAAGGTCTTGACTTAACCTACAAAACAACGCTAGGCATGATTAGTTTGGATATTGCGTTCAACAGTTATAGACGTGTAAACATGGAGTTCACAAACGCCGAAATTCGCGCTATTTTAAAGTTTTCCTTCGTTAAAGGCAAATCCGCTAGAGAAACGTTCCGTTCAAACCGCGGAGGAATGGTTTCGACGATTCAGAGCCGGTGAAAACGACACGATGGATAAGCCAGCCGGCGGAAGACCTGTGACGACAAATACCGATCACATCATGGAATACATCGAGTTAGACCGGCATATGGCATCTCGTGACATCGCCCAGGAGATGGGAGTTAGTCACCAAACCATTTTGAACCATCTGCAGAAGGCTAGATACAAAAAAAAGTTTGATGTTTGGGTGCCGCATAATTTGACACAAAAAAACCTTCTGGACCGAATCAACGCCTGCGATATGCTGCTGAAACAGAACGAACTCGACCCATTCTTGAAGCGGATGGTGACTGGCGACGAAAAATGGATCACATACGACAATATCAAGTGAAAACGGTCGTGGTCGAAGGCCGGTGAATCTTCCCAAACAGTGGCCAAGCCGGAATTGACGGCCAGGAAGGTTTAGCTGTGTGTTTGGTGGGATTGGAAGGGAATCATCCACTATGAGCTGCTCCCATATGGCCAGACGCTTAATTCTACCATCTACTGCGAACAATGGACCGCTTGAAACAGGCGATCGACCAGAAGCGTCCAGAATTGGCCAACAGGAAGGGTATAGTGTACCACCAGGACAAAGCCAGACCACACACTTCGTTGATGACTCGTCAGAAGCTACGGGAGCTCGGATGGTGGTGTGAAGTTGAACTCAAAGGCTTGTGAAAAGTGGCTGTCCGAATTCTTCGCAAATAAGGAGGGGGGCTTCTACGAGGAAGGTATTATGAAGTTGCCGTCTAGATGGAAACAGATCATCGAACAAAACGGCGCATATTTTAACTAAATCCGATCACTGTAACACTTTTTATAGAGCATTGAATGAAGCAAAAATTCATTCTCATTCTGGCTTCACTTACATGACTTTCTGATAATCGTTTCTTTTAACGCTCAGTTCCATGTCTAATCAATAATTCTATGAAAATTTAACGCAATATGAGCTTACGAACTTCTACCGAAAGCATAGCAAAGTTTCACTTTCTTCTCTGGCAGATGATGCATTCTTCGCTTGACTCTTCCATGAGTTTTGCTGGCAAATTTTATTCCCATTTTGTCGTTTAAAAAGAAGGAAGAACAGAAAATGAGCAAAAAAAATTTCAATTTAATTATTTATGGAAGAAAAAAAAAGAAAAAATTGTAAAATTTTTATTTCGTTTAATATTAAATAATTTTGCTATGATAAACGATGAACTTCACAAGTTGCAAGAAATTTCGAAGAGGAAGTTGAACTTTGTTGGTGAAATTCTTTTACGTGTTTTTTTTGTTTGAAATGAAACATAAAATTTAAAATAAAAATAAATTCACTTTTAATCGGCTTTCAATTAAATACAATATAATAAATTTGAAATTTAAACAAATAATAAAAATACAATTAAAAAAAATAAAAAAGAAAAAATAAAAATAAAAAATAAAAATAATCTCTTGAGCTTATTTCAAAGTGGTAAACTTGAATACATTTTTCAAACATTAAAATATAATTTTTCGAATGACAAATTATTGAAAAATAAAAATAAAAAAGAAAAATAAAAAAGAAAAATAATTTCTTGAGTTTATTTCAAAGTGGTGAACTAAAATAAATTTTTCAAATAATAAAATATGATTTTTCAATTAATAGATTTTTAAAAAATAAAAATAAAAGTTAAAATGAAAAATAAAAATAATTTCTCGCATTTATATCAAAGTGGTGAACTTAAATAAATTTTTCAAATAATAAAATATGATTTTTCAATTAATAGATTTTTAAAAAATAAAAATAAAAGTTAAAATGAAAAATAAAAATAATTTCTCGCATTTATATCAAAGTGGTGAGCTTTCTTTCTTATATATGTATTATTCAAATTGTAATAGTAAAAAATGCATAAAAATAATTTGATGAATATTCAAACAAAACACACACAAGTGCACACATTTAATTTTCCACAATTACCGCTATATTTTCTACAGTTTTTAATGCCGTACTTTTCCGCGTCGAAAAATGAATTTCATTTCATAAATTTTTTTTTCATTTTTTTGTTTCGTATGCTGATTTATTACATTTTCCTCTAACTTTTCTCTTTCTCTTTCGTCCATTTCTTTTTTGTTTTTTTTTTTTATGTCGCTGCAATAGCTGGTGGTGCATGAAATGAATCGACTGGGCATGATTGTCGACTTGTCCCACGTTTCGGTGCCCACAATGCTGGACGCGTTGAGCACATCGAAGGCGCCTGTGATATTTTCGCATTCCTCCGCGCATGCCATATGCAACAGTTCGCGTAATGTGCCGGATCATGTTCTGCAGAAAATTGTAAGTTTTACTACGAAGCATTTATTTTTTTTTCTAATATTTTCGCATTTAACACTATTTAGTATACTATACACACACATATATATATATATACGTATATAAATAATTTTTTTTTTATTATTTTAGAAGATTTTTTCTTCGTTTTTAGTGCCTTGCAATTTTACTCTTATTTAATAGTTTACCATTTCATTTGTCATGCCATTGCATTTGAATGCATTTTGTGCGCAAAAACTTATGAGCAAAGCGGTAAAGCGAGCCACTCACCGTTGAAGCAGCAAGAATACACGTCAATTGACCTGCAAAAAAAAACAAAAAAAATTTAAAAAATATAAATGTTTTGCCAGTCGCACAGTTGAAAAATATCCACATCATAAAAGTTCACCCATATAAATACATACATATATATGTATGTGTGTACTTGTTTGACTACACATGCATGTACATTGTCGTCACATACATACGTTTTCATAAAAAAAAAAATTGTACAAAATATTGCACACACGAAACAACTTCAGAAAATATGTGCATCGCGCAACTTTACTCTCGAGTGTCCTCTTTCCCAATCAATTGGTTAGTCAGTTGACTACAACTACTACTACTTGGCTGCTTGGCTTGGCTACCGAGGATACTCGTAAAGTAGTAGATAACGATGCTGCACAGTGTCATCAAAAGGTTTAGGCTGCTTGTACGTTTCCAAAAACAATTCATAAATATTTTTCGAGAAATCTTAAGATTTTCTGTTCGGAAGCCAAAAAAAAAAAATTAAAAAACAATATATATATTCGTACTTCTTTGTTAAGAGATTTGGATAGTAAGTATTGAAATAAGTACCTAATATAAGGAGAAATCTATGGTATCATATATATATATATAAAGGGTTTTCCATTTTTATTATTTTGAATTGCCTGCTATATCGTTAGACGCCACTTTTCAAGCTGTAATAGACATTTGATGGATAGAAACTACGTGAGTAACAAAAATGGAATGATACAGGCGTCAGCAACGAAAGAAATGAATAAAATTCACTTTAAAAATGTTGAAAACCTGGCAGAAACGGTTCGTAAAACTAAACATTTTCCGGTCGTCGTGAAGCGCTTCTTCGGCCCGCAACATAGAATTTGGAGGAAAGTCATTGCTTCTGTCGTCAAGTGAGCTGAAGAAATCAATGTCTTTTCATTCCTCGTCATCCCTTGAAATCTGACTTCCACAAAAGGCAAGTCATTCCACCTTAGTTTGTATAAAGACTTGGGTTTTAAGCTTTATAAAGTTCAGTTAACACAAGAACTCCAGCCGGACGATATAGCAACATCGTGTCTTTGCTGATTGGGTTTCTGAAATGCATGAAAACGATGCGAAATTTTATTGAAAATTTTGCTTGACTGATGATGAGGCTCATTTCCACCTCGTTGACTACGTCAATAAGCAAGACATTTTTTGTAGAAGAGCCACTGATTGGTGAGGTTTATGGTCCGGCGGGGACATTGCAGTTTACTTTTTCGAAAATGAGGCGCTATCGAGAGTTAATTAATATTTTTTTTTAGCCGTAATTGGAATTGATTTGAACAACGTTTACCTTCAAAAAGACGACGAGCCCATCGATCTTTGAAGGGAAAAGTTTCCGTGTCATGTTATCTTTCGAACAGGTCGAGATCTTGAAACGTCTTCTTTTTGTAAAACGTGAAAGCTAAGGTCTACGCCAACATGCCAACGTCGATTTAATACTTCAAAGATGGAATGTTATTGAGGGAATACAACAGCCACTTTTTGATGATGGAAAATTTCATTTCAAAGGATATAATTCTGTAAGCGTAGCCGTGGCGCGCATTTGGCTGATATTGTTTCCATTATTAATGGCATATCTTCCGCTTTACATTGATATAGACATCTGATTCTCTAAAGGTGATCGCAATTGGCCCCTTATTGGAAAACCAGATATTGGAGTTCCGGATTTTGCTCGAACATTTTCAAGCAATACGAGCATATGCGGAATCCGAGGGTTTTTTGCGTATTATTATTTATTATGAATTAAATGTAATCTAGTATATTTTAACCGTATTATTCAGGATAATTTCCTGGTTTTCGATTAGCTTCACATTTCCATCAATGTAGCCTTTTTTTAACTGAGAGTTTGAAGAGGTCGAAACAAATGGTCATTAGAGGATATGTGCGGACATTATATCATTGTCGAAACACAGAACACATTTTCATTACTTTACTTGAAAAGCTGGTTGTAAGTAGGTTAATTGTTGACAGTAGAGAGCAGAATTGATGTTTCGCCAGGGTGCAGCAGTTCATAACGGACGATTCCCTTTCAATCTCACTAAATACTCAGTATTACCTTATTTGCCGTTTATTTATATTTTGAACTCGTTTGTGGAGAGCTTCCAGCCGTTGATTATGATAATTTTTCCTTTTAGATTTTCGTGCGTAACTCATTTCCCGTCGCTTGAGAAGAGTCGCTTCAAAAATGATTCGATTTCATTACGCTTCAGAAGCATTCCCTGATGGTAATTCGATCAATGAAACTTTTCTTGCTTGAATTCATGTGACGCCCATCCAGCTTCTTTGAGTAGCCAGCCTTTTGCAAGTTATTCCAAATTGTTTCGTGCGTGGTGTCTGATGCCTTCTTTAGCTTCTGACATCTTGCGTGACGGTCTTGGATCAATAGTTGCAGAATATTATCGGGTTTTTGAGTGACTGTGCTAACAAAATGAGGAGCATCTTTGTCATTAAAATATCAGGTGCTGAATAAAGCAATCCACACCTGATTCCGGCGTTTAGTAATAGCCTTATTACCGTAAATCATACCAATTTTCAAATCGTTTTTATTGCGCTTTAATTTTTTTTTTTTGAATAGAAAGGAATAACTTAATGTAATCCTCAGTGATTTCACTAACTTTTATACCAAAACTACTTTTGATCCGAAGGAATGTTTAAATAAAAATTTTGTATGACTCTTTAACTCTGCCTTTAAGTAGGTTCCCGCTGCTACAATGCCATAGGGTAGAGTATTGCCCTTTAGTCTTGCCTGAGGGGAATTATTTCCTCGTTGTCTCTAAATGCCTGACCTCCTTCTTAGAGGAGAAGCAGTAGATCCTTGCCATCTTCTGATAACTCAAATAAGAAGTAGTGGCCTATTTAACGAGAAGTTACCTGATACTACAGCAGTCAACTCAAGACCTCCAGTTTAGTCCTTGTTTGTAGGTTTATTATAATGGCAAAAGGGATAATATGATGATTAGTTGTGATTTACTGATGTTTTTTTGTCGATATTGCGCGAGATCCACAACTCCAGCCTTTGATTTCATCACAAACAACTCCACAGTAATCTACTTGACAGTTCTAAGCCCGATTTCGCTTTTATTTCAGTCGATGGCTTCATGGATACTTGAAATCAAAGAACAACCAATTAAATAAATATTTTTATACTGTATGTCTATGATATATATATTCCTGCCCACTAAATCAATATCATTATCCTCGGTAGAACTACTTACCGACCCTTCTCCCATGTTTTACTCACTTTTTTCAATGCGCCGCCACACTGTGCCGCAGACTCAACTACGAGTATAACGTACAAAGTGTACTTTGAATATTGGCTATTGCCGCAGCGGAGTATTTTAAAAATTCGTAGTGTTTAAATTTTGTGAAGGACATACTTAGCCAACGTAGACGATTTGATCTAGCCTTTACGTCTGCTCTTCCTCTAGAGTTCATACCAAAGCACATGTAACTACGTTTATACTATATCCCTGCAAACAATGCGACTACTCCATGCACGCATGAAATGTGGACGTTAGTGTGGCCAATAAAGTAATCCAAAAATAAACCACAATCGATGCAGAGTATAATATTTCATTAACATTGCCATGATCTAGGGCTGGACTATAATATATACTCCACCTTGGTATACCATGCGAGTAATCAATCCTTGGAGTACATACAGTGGGTTACCTTATGGAATATAAATGATAAATTACATTCGAAAATACTTTTAGTTTTGAACATAATCCGCTTTGATGAAAAGTTAGCAAAATTTCCAATATAAATTTAAATTAATATTATTAATTTTTGTTCGGTTTTTATTTAATAGATGGCGTTATTGTCCATAGTACTAGTCCCTCGTGTCGCATTATGTCAAACCATACGGCGCTGAAAGCGTGTTTATTCGCGCTAAAAGTTTGTCTTTGACAGTATTTCGATTCATTGACTCAGTACGTTGTGAGCTCTCGTCAAAGATGGACATAAGCAAAGAGAAAATTCGATACATTTTACAAGTTCTCTTCGTTCAAGGTGAAAAGGCAGCCTAAGTGGTTTGCTAGATTCCGTTCCGGTAATTTCGATGTCGAAGATGTACCACGCGTCGGAAGGCCTGTCGTCGAAAATTGCTATAAAATCATGAAATCATGAAACAGACCATCACGTGAGCACTTATTCGATTGCTGAGGAACTAAAAATAAACCAGAAAGCAGTTTGGAACCATTTGCATAAACTTGGATTCAAAAAGAAGCTCGATACTTGGGTGCCACACGAACTAACGCAAAAAAACATGATGAACCGAATTTCCATCTGCGAATCACTGCTGAATCGCAACAAAATCTACCCGTTTCTGAAATGGATTTTGACTGGCGATGATAAAAGGGGTCACTTACGACAACATCGAGCGCAAACGGTCATGATCAAAGCTAAGGGAAGCGGCGCAGACGGTGGCCAAGACCAGATTGAGTGCAAGGAGTGTTTTGCTGTGTGTTTAGTGGGATTAGCCAGGAATCATCTACTAAGAGCTGCTCCCTTGTTGCCAAGCGCTCAATTTGGCACTTTACCGCCAACAAATGGACCGCTTGAAGGCAGCACGCATCTAGAAGAGGCCATCTTTGATCAACAGAGACCGAATTGTGTTCCATCAGGACAACGTTAGGCCACACACGTTTTTGGTGACGCGCCAGAAACTCCAATAGCTCGGGTAGGAGGTCCTAATGAACCCACCTTATAGTCCGGACTTGGCAACAAGTGATCCTATCCATGGCTAACGCGCTTAATGGTGAGAAGTTGGCCTGAAAAGAGGCCTGTGAAAATTGGCTCTCCGAGTTTTTTTATATCTCATAATGCAATTTTATTTTTTCTGAAATTTCTTTACACATTTTCTTTATACGAGTATAAATCTTATTGCGCACCTGCAACTTCATAGATTATTTGCATTCGTTAAAACTCGCGCAATCATCGGCTAGCACCGAACGTCAATTGATCCAATAGTACAATACTGAGTAGTACCTATTGGATTACTCCAACAGACCATATGGTCGAAAAATATTTCCTTGGATATATATACATAAATATATAGTTAAAAACAGTTGCTCGCAAAATGACTGCGCTGCGCAATGGAAAACTCCCGGAAGTAGTAGAAAATGCTGCAAAAGGCTTTATATAATATTATATTTGCAAGAGACACCAACACATACTTGTACATTGTTATACAGATAAATAAACATATAAATGCATTTTTTTTCGTTTTACAAATATCAACAAATTTATATAAAATTTCAAAGTAAATATGTACATGTTTTTTTTTTTTTTGGTGGTATAAATATGTATATATCTGTGTATTTATTTGTATATAGGTACAAGTATATTCAAATTCCGTTTACTTGGCATCGTTTCAGGCACTCAACGGCGGTCTGGTGATGGTCGCATTCTATCCACATTTTCTTAGCTGTTCGAGTCAGGCGACACTCGAGGATGTTATTGGTATGTAAATGAATGCACAAACACCAGCACAAACACCAACACATTTACATGCATCCAAAATACACAAACAAATTTATGTGCACAGTAGATTGTAGGTCGCAATAAAATATCAAAGTCAATATCATATTAATATTCAGTAAAATGGAAAATCGATGAAATTCTTGTTGTTGTTGTTGTTGTTGTTGTTGTTGTTGATGATGTTATGCTGCTCCAGCAACCCAATATATGCCCACACAAAATGCCATTATTGCAAAAACAGCGCTGGGACACACGAGTTTGCCAAAAATTCGAAAAATCGAAAAAAAAAACCAATTTTGAAATAAAAAAAATTGCAAAATAATTTGTTTAACATTAAAGCAACATTCAGTAAGCGCACAACAAAAATTAAAATATATACAAATGCACAAATATTTGAACTAAATATTACATGACGCATACACTTGCTGGCATACATATGTATGTATGTAAATATGTACATACATATGTACACTAAACTCAAACTATTGTCCATGCAGAATTTTAAATAATCAACAAATTTAGCTCAACATGCTGTCGTTGAGTTCTTGCCCATAAAATTTATTGTGGTTTTATTACATGTATTAACTAATTTGGTTGCTGAATCAGTCCATTTAATGGTTTTAATAATTTCGAAATTTGTTTAATTCTGCCAAAAATTAATGGCATCTGTGTGCGAAATTTGTCAAAAATAGTAAATGGCAAAAATGCATTACGAGAAATTGAATAATAGATCAAAGGCTAATTTTTGTTCTCACAGTTTGTAATAAAAAAAGGAAAAAAAATTAAAATAAAAAAGAAAGAATTAGAAATATGTACACTTATTTTATGAGATAGTTTCGAATTTTGCTCAAAACTTTTTTGTACCTGCCACTTATAAGATGAGTTGCCCAAAAAGTAATTGCGGATTTTTTAAAAGAAAGTAAATGCATTTTTAATAAAATTTAGAATGAACTTTTGCCATTTTCTTGGCAAATTTAGTATTCCACGCTCATAGAATTTCTGGTCTTTATCTGCAAAAAACTGAACCAAGTGCGATTTTATAGCCTCATCATTGCCGAAAGTTTTACCATTTAAGGAGTTCTGCAAAGATCGAAATAAACGTTAGACTGATGGTGCAAGGTCAGGGCTATATGGTGGATGCATCAAAAGTGCCCAGCCAAGCTCACTCAATTTTTGGCGAGTGACCAAAGATGTGTGCGGTCTAGCGTTGTCCTAGTGGAATATGACACATTTACGATTGACCAATTCTGGTCGCTTTTCCTTGATGGCTGTATTCAATTTGTCCATTTGTTGACAGTAAACATCCGAATTAATTGTTTGGTTCCTTGGAAGCAGCTCAAAATATACGACACCTTTCCAATCCCACCAAACAGACAGCATAACCTTCTTTTGGTGGATATCAGCCTTTGAAGTGGTTTGAGCTGATTCACCATGATTGGACCACGATCGTTTTCGACTAACGTTGTTGTAAACAATCCATTTTTCATCTCCAGTTATTATTCGTTTTAAAAACGGATCGAATTCATTACGTTTAAGGTGCATATCACAAGCGTTGATTCGGTGTGTTAAATGAATTTCTTTCAATACATGTGGTACCCAAATATCAAGCTTTTTCACCAGTCCAAGACTATTTATGTGATAATGAAAGGTTGATTTTGGTATATTTAACTTCTCTCCTATCTCATGCTCAGTTACATGACGACCCAATTCGATTAATGCTTTGATTTGGTCATCATCAACTTCATTTGGCCGACCTGAACGTGGCTCATCTTTAAGTGAAAAATCTCCAGAACGGAATTTGCGAAACCAATTTTGACACTGTCTTCCTTTTAAGGTTTCATCACCATACACATCTTGTAACTTTTTAGCAACCTGCTCCGCGTTTTTTCCTTTACGGAAGTAATAAAGTAAAATACGACGAAAATGCTCCTTTGTGGGCTCCATATTAAAATTGACGCCAAACAAACAAATGTAAACAAAATTTCTCGCACTTTTTTTCTAAAGCAAGCTAAAAGTAACAGCTGATAACTGATTTTCCAGCCAAATATGTACTCTTGTCACAAAATCTAGGATAAACTGTTTTTTCTACACATAATCTGATTTAAGCTGCAAAAGATTATTACCATCCAAAATAGAGCCAACAAAAAAATACTGCTGGAAATTGCTCTCATTTTTCTTGCAAAGCAAAAATAATGGATTACTTTTTACTATTGGGTTGCCCAAAAAGTAATTGCGGATTTTTCATATAGTAGGCGTTGACAAATTTTTTCAACGGCTTGTGACTCTGTAATTGCATGGCATATTGAGTCGTGAGAAGGCGGATTAATAGTTTTACAGTTTCAATATTTGCTGGTGGTTTAAGATTTTTGCCAGCTTTCCAAAGTGATATTGGGAGATTACGATATTATGGGATTTTTTAAATATATCTTACGCCAATTGCAACTTTTTCCATCCATCTTAAGTCGGTTCGGTTCTCGGATCGGATAAATTTTTATGGAATTAAATTAGTAGATTTGGTGGCATGAAATCCAATTTGTTTTTGGTACTTATGACCGGGCTTTTGTGTTTATTATTCGAGATGAATTTGCTTAGCATTGTAATCTCCGCCAACTAAAGAATTCTATCTTTGAATTATGAAAAAAGTGTTTCTTTGGTATTGCTAAGGTGTCTGTTCTTAAGAGGATTGAGGTTGACTGCAACCACTTTGTTTCAAAGCAATGCAGAGAGTTACGCTTTAAACGGTTTCTTGTAAGTAAGGCTGTACTACCGTAAGCTTTGCCATTCGGGTGACTAGTGCTGGAGATCTCAAAAACAAGCATGCAAAAGTTAAATAACTAATTTAAATAACTAATAAAACTGTCCAAAAACACAAGGCACTTAATGCCTTTTTCAATTTCTATACATAAAAAAATTACGATTTATATTTTATTCAATTTTTATATTATTTATTTAATTTCTCCTTTTTACAATTTTAGTGCACATAAATCACATACGTGAAGTTGCTGGCGTGGATCACGTGGGCATTGGTGCGGGCTACGATGGTGTGAATCTGTAAGTACTTTTTTAAGTCGGTTAAGCCAAAAAATATGTATATGCACGTGTATATATTTTTTTAGGTTAGGTTATAATGGTTGGCTCTTTACATATAGGGTCCGTCATCTATATGGAAAAGTTGAGTAGGTAGATTTAGAAGCTTTCAACGGTTGCTACAGGGAGAAAGATTTATTGTAGAGTTCCATCGAAAATGGCTTTATACAAAAAGTAAAAATTGTTTTTGAAGAGACTCCAATTTATCGGAATGAATCTGATATGGAACAGTAAACCATTTTCTATTATTGGCCCCACCAAAGTCGTATAATGTGCTTTGGTTACAAAAGGGTCTTTGAATTTTTTCGACCATCTTTTGACTAAGGCAAAAGTATTTTTAGCTTTTAAGATAACCAATTTTCACAGGCCTCTCTTGAGGCCAACTTCTCACCATTAAACGCGTTCGCCATTTACACGAAAAGCTGGTAAAATCACTCGGTGCCAAGTCCAGACTATAAGGTGGGTGCATTAGGACCTCCCACCCGAGCTCCTAGAGTTTCTGGCGCATCACCAAAGACGTGTGTGGCCTGACGTTGACAATTCCTTATGGAACACAATTCGGCCTCTGTTGATTAAAGATGACCTCTTCTGGCTGAGTGCTGCCTTCCTTGTTAATTCCATCAAATACACAGCAAAATCTTCCTGGCACTCAATGCGGTCCTGGCCACCACTTACCGAGCTTTAACCGCTCGATGTTGTCGAAAGTGACCCACTTTTCATCGCCAGTCACAATCGGCATCAAAAACGTGTCGATTTTGTTGCGATTAAGCAGCGATTCGCAGATGGAAATTCGGTTCATCATGTTCTTTTGCGTTAGTTCGTGTGACAGCTTCTTTTTGAATCCAAGTTTATGCAAATGGTTCCAAACGACTTTCGGGTTTATCTTTAGTTCCTCAGCTATTGAATAAGTGCTCACGTGACGGTCTGTTTCCACTGTTTCCATGATTCTATCGCAATTCTCGACGACAGGCCTCCCGACGCGTCGGGCATCTTTGGCATCGTAATTACGGGAACGGAATCTAGCAAACCACTTTTGTGCTACACGTTCGTTTACAGTATCGGGCCTATAAACTAAATTCATTTTTTTCAGCCGCTTTGGCTGCTTTTTCACCTTGATCGAAGAGAACAGAGAAAAATATAGCGAATTTTTTGGTGTCTATCTTTGACGAGCGCTCACAACGTACTGAGTCAATGAATCGAAAAACTGTCAAAGACAAACTTTTAGCGCAAATAAACTCGCTTTCAGCGCCGTATGGTATGACATGATCTGACACGTAACACTAGTACTATGGACAATAACGCCATCTCTTAGATAATAACCGAATGAACTTTTTACTGGGCCTAATATATATATATATATATGTATGTATATATATATTATATGATATATTCAATGTACTTCATTATTTACCTTTATAATCTCTTAATGAGCAAAATAATATGTTTTTCCCTCTGTTTTTCCTTTTCATTTCAACTAGTGTGCCGAAAGGCTTAGAAGACGTATCCAAATATCCATATCTCTTCGCCTCATTACTGGCGTCTGATAAATGGTCCGAAGCGGATATAGCGAAAGTGGCGGGGAAGAATTTAATACGCGTGTTCAAAGAAGTCGAAGCGGTAAGTAAACAGCTGAAGGATGCAAAAACTGAAATAAGTCCACCTGTGCCGACCACGCCATGCAATCAAACAGCTAATTAATTAAAATATATATACATATATACCAATACGAGTACATATATATAATATTATTTAAAATGGTAAAGAAAATATATAGAATTTAGCCGAAAAAGTAATTAATCAAGTTTACGGTATATAATGGAATACTTATGTATGTATGTATGTAGGTACTCGTAGTAGCATACGAATGAGACAACGGGAGACCGTTAATCTTATTCACTCAAATTAATAATCGAAAAGCAACATAGCAATAATTACAGTTGATATTTAAGTATGTATAACCGTATAATCAATGTGTTTACTTGTATACTATGTATGTATGTATGTATGTATGTATGTGTGCAGGTTGTATTGTGTACTCCATTAATTATGCAAAACAAATGGAAAAACGAACAGCACAATGCAGAAGTAAGATTTATTGAGAAAAAGTTCATAAAAAAGAAGAAGTAATTTTGAAGTAAAAAATTGTTGTCGAACAGTGAAGTAAAGTGAAGTAGAATAATTGGTTAAAACGGCATAAGGAGAAGACGAAAGACGAAAGCTTGCAGCTCGCCAGCAAGAAGACATTTAATCCCAAAGAAAAAACAAAACTGAACCTGCTTCGCTGAGCATCTTTCCTTTGTTCGGTAAATGGCACTTTTACCTTGCAATTCTTTACATTTTTTCATATTTATGTTTTCCTCTTTATTAAGTATGCAAACAGCAAGAAATGTAGGGAAAACATGAACGCAGTTGAAATGAAAGTTAGATAAAACGTTATGTTTATGTTTTATTTTTTTTTTTCAATTCCATTTTTTTTTTGTAATCTTCACAGCGCTTTTTTTCTGCTCATCAATTACAGTTTGCAGAAGTAAAAAACATAAATCCTTTTTTTGTTTATATTATATTTATGTTTATGTGCGTGAGTAGTACACACAAGTATGGTAGCAGTGGAAAATGGCATTGACGAGAAGTAGTTTGCATGTAACACAACTCAGGGGCGGACTTGGTGCCGCTGAATGGGGTTAAGCGAAAAAAAAGTTTGACAGCACACACGCACACACACACACACACAATCCAGTTTAAATGGCAAATAAAGGGTGTCCTCATAGCGCAGCTGCTTTGTAGTTTGGTTTTTAAACACGCTTTGATATGGGTTTTCCAATAAGAGTTGTTATTTTGATACTCAAAAAATAATGACGTTTTTTGTGTTAAATGACCCGATGTTTATTTCAATGTAAAGTAGGTACAGGATCGCAATCTTGTTTTGAAATTTTCCATCACCAAATCGCAAATCAACTGCTGCATGCCCTCATAGCTTGACAAGTTTCATCTTTGAGGTCTTGAATCAACGTTTGCCCATGGGTATAGATCTTTGCTTTCATGTGACCTCAGAGGAAGAAGTCGCAAGGTGTTAAATCACAAGATCTCTATGACCAATTGGAGTCACCTGACATGGAAAATTATTCCTCAAGAGATCAATGGTCTCGTCGTATTGTTGAAAGTAAACGTTGTTCAGATCAATACCATTCAATTTCGGCCATAAAGAATCATTTACCATCTCCCAATAGCGCAATCCATTCCCCGTAACTGTTGCTCCAGTCTCATTTTCGAAAAAAATAAGCTGCAATGGCCCCGCCAGACCATACACTCCGTCGCAAAACAGTTACACGTGGGTTTTTCGCTCTCCAGATACGACAGTTTTGCTTATTGACTTATAGCGAACGAGTTGGAAATGGGTTAAGATGATTTTCCTATGGAATTCCGGATATTTTCATCTGTTTCAATAATCCAATCAGCAAAGACACAACGTTGTGGATGAAAGATCGGCTTGAGTTTTTGTGTTAACCGAACTTTATAAGATTTAAGACTCAAATCTTTGTGTCACAGCAGCAATATTCTTAGTTGTTCTTTGTGCGCCGTCCATGTGTTTCATTCTTCATCACACCACTAACTTATCCCAACAGTTCCATTTTGCCACCAATCTCTGTGTTGTGGTCCGACAAGGTGCTTCACGTTGACCGAAAAATGTCAGTTTCTCTTTACACAGTTTTCTTATGCCTTACCAGTTGCCATATTTGTGGTAGAGTGACGAATATTCCCTCTATAATTTTTCCAGCGCTGAGCTGCAGGAATTTCTCTTTAATCGTATCTTGTTGATTAGCGAAAATTCGTCACCGGAATCCGGCCTCTCTGCTCGGTTTGGTGGTTAGAACACAGCCTGGTTGCCACTATATCAGTTCTTATCTTACGGCTGAAGACAAATTTAGATAGTGGACACCGTGTTTGGACTTGGTTGTTATAACTTTTGTCTGAGTCAAATCAAAAATAGTTCTTAATCCTTTAGTTTCGTCCAAATTATCGGACGTGCAAATAGAAAATGTTTAGGTTGTGTTTTAAACCAACCTAATGGAAGTGTCGCACACGAGCCCAGTCTTTAAATGTATGCGAAAAAGGAAGTTAAATGTGGTAGTACTTCTTCAATATTATTTAGGGGGAAATTCAATATTGGCATGAGCGGGATATTTGCCGTTCTTTAAGAATATCTCCTTGCGATCTCCTTGGAATTCAAATTTAAAATTATTTATGGCGTTTCCGAGGAGAAAATATCCTTCCAAGGTTTATAGAATGTACCACTTGTAACTCACTTTTTTATGTCGATCCAAAATTTATGGCCGCCCTATGGGACTTTTTTTACTTTCTCGTCCTTTAACTTGAATTTAAGGCGAACATTCGATTTCTGGATTATGGTTTGTGCTGACTTAAAGGTGTAGAAAAAAGCAAACGGTAATTCGAAACGCATAGGAAAATTTTTCTACATAATTTCCTTCCAAATATTTTCTGGTCAAGCTGTGTAATAAATATTAATTTACTTGTACAAACATACATATATACGAAAGTATGTAAGACAGTATTCATGCACACAACTTCAGCAAGGATTCCATAAAAAAAAATAAAAAAGCGGAAAAATAAAAGTGTTGTTGAAACTCCAAAGTAAAAGTGGACAAAGAAAAAACTTATTGCAAAGTTAAGGGAACTCAAACCAAGTTCTGCTTGAGCATTTATCAAACTCACGCCACGATGATATTAAACTGAATTTTACCCATATTGATGATAGATAAAGACACCCACACCACATGCGCTAAAAGTCCCCGGCTTAACAAGGTACGAGGTAGGTAAGAGTGCAGGCTCTGTGTTAGTAAGGTCTAAGCAACCTGCTATCTCATTTCGTTGTTGCGCTCAAATCACTCTATGCAATTACTTATATCTGACATGCTCTTTGTGATGTGCCCCTTCTTATGCCTGCGAACCTATAATTACACTTCATAGACCAGTTTACAAGATGCTTAGTTCTTAATCTCTCATATCTGCTACGCTATATTACAGCTCTGGGGTGATTTCCATCTATGCCGAGCTATTTGCTACAATTTCAGTGAAAATTCTATCCCAATCACTGTAGGTGGACATAGTATTGGCTACGTTTCACAGTCGATAAGTGATGCTCTCAACTTCGCCTGCTCGTGTGCTCTTTTATTAACGAAAATATTTCTATGGTTGACAATCCAAGCTTTGGAGATGCCGAGTTGATCTACCAGCAAGTTTAAGGCTACAGACAAGCTTGATTGTGAGAAGCAACGCCGCTTGACTGCCAAGCTAAATGAATGGTTGCTCTCTGTGTAATCTCGAAGTTGTTCATTAGAGTTCTGCTGGTCTTTTCTATGCATAGAATTTTTCACTTGAAAGCTGCAAGCATTGAGACATTGAGATTCTCAAATAATACCCCTGCTCACATTCCGTAGCCAATTCTGGTCCTATCTAAATAATAATAAGTCTAATATTTTGCAACTTTGCGAACGAAGAGCGATAGTCGAGTGATTAGCAATGGGTACTGCCATTTGTACGGCCAAGATTCGAGTTCAAAAAAATATTGAATGACAATTTAAATAAAAGGAGCTCGGCCATAAATCACTTCATCGGCTGCAAAGCGCAAAAATACATTTTAAATATTTTTTTTTCATATAAATCTTTTCTTATTATTAAGTTTGAGCTTTGCCATTATTATTATTACACAACTCAAATGTGGACATCGCGAATTTTCGCAAGCTTCGATACGTTTGACAAAATTTTTAACCATATTCTGACACATACTGTGCGCTAATTGAGCTATAACCTGATGAAAGTGCTCAACAATTAGAGATTTATTCTCTTTTGCGTAGCCTCACAATAAGAAAAAGTTGAGCCGTGTCAAATTGCACTATGCTGCGGTGGCCGTTTTACATCGCCAAGTCAAGAGATCACGCGACCCTGAAATTTCTCACACAATAAAGTAATTTTCGCTCGTTTTGTGTGGCTTGTGGCACCGTCTTGTTGAAACCAAATATTGTCCAAGTCGCGTTCTTCAATTGCCGGCTAAAAAGTCGGTTATCATACGAAGAGGCGAAGAGGTAAGGTCCAATCGCACCTCTCAAGCAAAGAGCCGTCCCCTGGTTGTTGTTCGACCACACGATCGACGTATGTATGTATGTGTGGCGTTGTGTATCTCCAGCTGGTTTCAGTTGCATAAGCAAGCTGGACTTTTTAGAGGTTTAAGTCCAAGTACAAAATACCCCATAATGTACCGTTTGAAATCTCAGGTCTACCGAAGCGACGTTTGAGGAGGAACGAGCACAACGATGTTGCACAGGCCTTACAATATATGTAGCCGATCTAGTCTCTTCAAATTTCTTTAGAAGTTTACCATTTTTTTTTTTTTAGTTGGGACGATTATGTGCACCATAATCTCCTCTTAAAATTCGAAATGTGACCACGTTTGAATCACCATTTTTGTGAAGGGTTCTTGTAATTCAGCGCTCCATTGTCATAAATGCCAGGCTTTCAGCTAAAACAAAACATGTTTGGTTTTGATGATTGAGTTTGACAAGTGTTAAAATAGAGCTCTGTACTCTTGAAATCACGTAACA